ACAGATGTGTGGTCTTGATTTGTTGGGCATGGGGCTCAAGAGGTTAATGAAATTCCCAGAAACTATTTCATAGATTTGAATCTACAACTGATTAACTTGACTCGATTCAAAATAGCCAGCACAGCTAATCAACCTTAGCAAGCACAAAAATGGCTACAACTCTGCCAATTTTACAGATACTGAGCTAAAAGTTGTAGTAGCTGCGAGTCATACCAAGTAAATAATGTGAGCGCTAACAGATTACAAGATCTTCATTTAAAACTTTAGTCTGCTTCGGTGAACCTAGCATCAGCCCAGAGAGTGCTAGTTTTATTGGAACTAAATAAATCGTTTTATCAGCTTATCGGTCTTCAGTAAAGAACTTTGAACTGAATGAGTTGGACCAATTTGCATGGCAGCTGCTTGGTAAATAAGGCCGAACTGTCATTCTGCCTCTAAAACGCCTCGCTAAGAACCATCAGCTTTACTCCCATCATGCACTGCAGTGATGAAGTCTTAGCTGTGACAACGCTGAAGTAAACAGAAACTAAAGAGTGTGTGTTTAGTCACCAGGAGGAACACCCAGGCAGGTATGAGCATGATGACGGCTGCTGCACTGGTGTAGAACTGCAGTTCTGGAGGGCTGAAATAAAACTTTATTAGTTTTCATGACACCTAAATTACACTGAATTAAAAAAACAAACAACGTGTACCTAAATCTGTACGTGTCCCCGCTCAGCAGCTTCTTGGAGAAAACGTTCTGCAGACTGGAAATAAGCGCAGAGTTAGTTAAAAGCGCAAAACGTGGAGCGTCTGCGTCGAGTGCTGCAGTTACAAACCAGTCCATGATGTTGGTGGACAGGGCGGCGGAGAAGCCCAGCATGTTGAAGCTGACCTCGGTGGCTGTGCAGAGGGCCAGGCCGGCCATGACGGGAAACAGGGACAGGTTCACCCACAGACCTGCAGGGTGGAAAAACAAACAGCCGAGTCGCCTGATTTTCTTAAACCTTCTGTGTGTTTTATTTAATCTCTTCTGAGTAAACAGTGTCTATCACTATAAGAACTAGACAAGCAAACAATTAATCTTCTCACGATTAACTGTCGATTATTTGTTTATTAGATTGAAATTTGTTCCACTGAATAAACTGATAACAGCCACTCTAACAGGAAAGATAAACCCTCTGTTTCAATCTGAGACAAAAGAAGAATTCAAACTTTAAACCAGTTTTTAAATTGTGTTGATAGGTTAAGCATAACTATGCCTTTTTTGTCTTTAAATGACTGTCCAGTTTTTCTTCTTTTTTTTTTTAGAATTCCTTTATTTAAAAACAGGGACAATATGCAAATAAAACATTAAAAAGATGCTTTGCATCAGATTTAGCTTACGCTAATTTCCATCTGTAGTCCCTGAACAACAAAATACAATCTAAAGTCAAGACAAATAACAATAATCCATTAAATTTGTAGACACAATTACTGCATAAAGTCATAAAGACATAGCAATCAATTCTAATTACAATCTCTATACACAATCATAAAATGCATCAGCAAAAACAGTTCTACATGCTAAATATCTGTTCATTAATCACTAATGCAAGGATTACAATCAAGATATTTCAGTGTAGACATTGCTGGTTTTCCAATAGCACTTTCTTAACGTTATAAGTAAAATCCTTCAGGTCAGTAGAAAGTTTAAGATTTACTGGAAACTTATTCCATTCTGTGATTTCCATTTTTGTTTGATGCGCGTCAAAGGAAACACAGCAGGTAGTCTCATGGGAAGTCTCAGTTTCCTCCTTCCCTCGAGCTAAAAAATATAACCCCCCCCCCCTCTTTTTTCTGACTGACAACCAAAGTTTTTTGTCAAGCAGCCAAAAAAAAAAAAAAAAAAAAAAAGACGAAGAAAATAAAGACGCAAAAGTTGATTGAACAGGTTCCTACAGTTTAAGGCAAGTTAAATTTATGACTTTCTAAGACTTGTTAATGTGAAGTGAAATTACATTAAAGACCAATTTCACAATAAAAACTGTGGCAGAAACTCATGAATCTAAGTATTTTTGGTTGAATTATTCAAATATTGCTAACAGACCGATTTGTTTTTATCCATATCTAACTGCTTTTGTCAAATACAGCAGAAACATTCTTAGCAGTCAGTTTTAAACTTAATTTAATTTCTGGAAATCCTCTAACGACCTAAAATTTGGAGTTTTAGGACCCACAGCGGGGTCTTAACCCCAACTCGCTGTAGATAAAACCTGAAAAGTCCCTGTGATATTAAATTTTTGTAAGAAATATGAATGCATTTTTGGACAAACTTTACCAACATATTACAAAAATGAATTTCTCACTGCTCAGATGGACAGTTGTTGAGATACTTACATGTGAAGTAACAATAAGTGATGTCAAAGGATAAAAATTCATGTGAATATTTAAAAAAAATGTTACCAATTATTTTATTATTTTAGATGAATTACAGTCATCCTATTTACAATGTGTTACCATTTTTAAGCCTTCTGAAAGATTGATTTAAGGCATTTTAAGGCTAATTAAGGCCTTATTTTTGGATTGATGGATTCAAAGCCTTTTAAGACTTTTTAAGGATCTGCAGGAACCCTGTTGAAGTGTGGTGACAATGAAGAGACAGCAAGAGCGTGAGAAAGTTTTTTGTGATATTTGTTGTGTTTGGACTTTATGTTCAGGTGTAGTCTTTGTGTATGTTGTTTAGTCAGTTTTCTTCTCAGTGCTCAAATAATTTATTTTTATTATTTTAGTCACAGACATAATTTATTCTTTTTATCTTTATTCCCCATTCAGCAACCTGATGGATTTCTTTTCTGTTCTATTTTACACATGTCTGAAAAAATCCACTATTTTTGGTTTATTCAGTCAGAATTTAATACAGCTGCCATAATAAACTGTTAAAATATGACATGCTTCTTTTTTTTAAAATTCAGCACATTAAGAAAAATCACTTTATGTTATGGAAAGACTCTTGATACAAGAGAAAACTCAGAATTTTAAGAAAATGGCCACCAAATTAATCGTTAGTCGATAAGACCAGTCAATATCAGATTAATCCATTAATCGATATCTTACATCCTAGTAAGTAGGGATGCACGATAGATCATTATTGATATCTGTATCAGCTGACATTGGTCCAATATGTAAAACTGGGCCGATATTAACATCTATATTGATTTCCCACTTTTTATCTTTGTGTTTCTGTTCTGGGAGGGGAGATGGTTGGTTGAGCTGCATCTGTTTGATCATGATAGTGATATTGACGCTGCGTGACCAGGAATAACTGAAGTAGAATCATGTCAGGGGTCTGGTCGTTTATTTACTGTATCAAAAAAAGGCCCAGGTGTGTTTGTGCGTATATGTATAATACAATTTGTATGTTTGTGTAATATCGGTAAATATCGGTTATCGGCCATAACAGCAATAATAATATTGGATATCGATATCAACTGAAATTTTCATTTCGGTTCATCCCTTCTACTAAGATCAAAAACGATATCATCGTAGTTATATGTTTAATTGCTAGTGGAAGAAGATAGTATTCTCTTATTTTTGTATATTTACTCACTTGTGTACTCTCCGAGGATCAGCCTGGACATGATGACAGTGAAAATTGGCGCTGAGCTCTTCACAGTCTCAGCAAATGACACCGCAACATTCTTCAGGCTGACTAAGCCCAGAACCACAGTGGTGAACCTAACAAAAGCAAACACAATGAACTCACTTGACGTTTGATTTGTGCCATATCTGTTCTTATCAGAGGCTCTAACGTATCAAACAGTTTCTACGGCTCAAAAACTAAACGTTTTCTTCCTGCGCTCACAGAGCTTGTCTGTTATTAACCGCTCTGTTTAAAAAGATAAAAGCAGCCACCTCATGAGTCCAACAAACAGCATGATCATGATGAAGTTGGGAGGATACTCGGACCTCGACTTGTGCTGGTAAAGGCAGCAGGGAATGAACATCTTCAGGCAGCCTATGAAGGTGGTGGAGAGCATCTGGACTGCGCCTGAGGAGCAGAACACAGAAAAAGAAAACTAAAGCATCTTCTCGTGGCAGAAATTGCACGGGAGACAAAAAACAAAGATACAGCAGGTAAAATAAGTACTGAACACGTCACCATTTTTCTCAGTAAATATATTACTAGAGGTGCTAATGACATGAAATTTTCACCAGTTGTCGGTAACAACCCAAGTGATCCATACATACAAAGAAATCAAACCATAAATGTCCAGAAATGAAGTTATTTGTAATAATGTGGAATGACACAGGGAAAAAGTATTGAACACATGAAGAAAGGGAGGTGTAAAAAGGTATGGAAAGGTTAGTCACCAGCTGAACTCTCTCAGTAATTAGAAAGCAAGCCTGCCCCTTGTCAGTGCAAATT